CCCAGCTGATCATGATGTTGACAGAGCCCAGCCAATCCAAGCAAAGCTGGCTCTCACTGAGGGAACTGGGGCACTGATGGAGGCAGAGGTTGGTGATGGATTCAGGGAGACAAAGCGGTGGTCAGAGTGGTGGAGAGGGAGAGAATAAGCCCCATTCCGAGGGCTGTGGGGGCTGCAAGAGCCAGGTGGCCCAAGTGGCCATCAGGCTGGCTGCGGGAGGTGAAAATCTCACTACGTCAAAGAAGAAGCCACCAAGGTATTTTATTCAAGTCAGCTGAAGTGGATGCCAACTTGCGGTAAGCCACCAAAGTAAGCTGAGATGTCATAACATTGAAAAACATGCATTTTTATTCAGTACAATCCTTTGAAATTCCCACTCTCACGCCAGCTGGAGCCAGCTTTGCTTGGATTGGCTGTGCTCTGTCAATGTCATGATCAGCTGAGCAGGACAGTAGTGCCTGCTGACCAATAGGAGAGCATTCCCTGCTTCCAATGCAGATTCCCACTCCCCAATGGCTGACGGGGGAGCAGACTGGTCCAGGAGACAAATAGAGTGTAAAGAGTTCTGAATGGGGTGCTTTGAATGTGATTTTCTTGCTTCCTGCCAGGGGGTTAGACTGGATGGCCCATGAGGTCTCTTCCCAGCAGAGAGACAAACAAAGGGGGCCATCAGATCCCATGTGTTTTATTGTAAAGACAATTGTGATATGAGTTCCCAGCAAATGGGCCCAATGCCTCTGGCATTGCTGTCCCTTGAGTCCAAAAGCAGAGATATTGTCCATGTTGACAGGATTATGTAGTTTATTCCTGGGAAAGGGGAAATGTCATTGTGGAACAATGTGTCATGACCTCCCAGTGTACAGATAGCCATGTCAGGTGATTAATGATATTGTAGGAGTCCCCGGTGGCACAGGGGGGAAAGGAGGAGAGGAAGGGGAAAAGGGGGGAGGAAAAAAAGAAGAGAGGAGGAGGGAGAAGAAAAAGGGGAGAAAAGGGAAGGGGGGGGACTCCTACAATATCATTAATCACCTGACATGGCTATCTGTACACTGGGAGGTCATGACACATTGTTCCACAATGACATTTCCCCTTTCCCAGGAATAAACTACATAATCCTGTCAACATGGACAATATCTCTGAGTCCAAAAGCAGAGATATTGTCCATGTTGACAGGATTATGTAGTTTATTCCTGGGAAAGGGGAAATGTCATTGTGGAACAATGTGTCATGACCTCCCAGTGTACAGATAGCCATGTCAGGTGATTAATGATATTGTAGGAGTCCCCGGTGGCACAGTGGGTTAAACCCCTGTGCTGGCAGGACTGAAGACCGACAGGTCACAGGTTCGAATCCGGAGAGAGGCGGATGAGCTCCCTCTATCAGCTCCAGCTCCTCATGCGGGGACATGAGAGAAGCCTCCCACAAGGATGATAAAAACATCAAATCATCCAGGTGTCCCCTGGGCAATGTCCTTGCAGACGGCCAATTCTCTCACAGCAGAAGCGACTTGCAGTTTCTCAAGTCGCTTCCTGACCCAACAAAAAAATGATACTGTAATGTCCAGGTGACTGAGACAAAGGACGGGCAGTCCTGCGAATGGATCCTGCCATCCTCTGCACAGTTGGGGTTTATGGGGCCAGTAGAGATGGACGGCCCAAAGGTGATGGGTGATTGAGTCCTTCTTATGTAGTTGATGCTCAGGAAGACAGCTGGATAGATGTCCCTGGGAAAAGGTCATGAAAAAGTCTTGATCGGTGGCATACTTCTCCAAAGTGATTCTATATTGAGATATAAAACATAACACATTAAATACATACACATGACAGTCTGTGAATATCAAGTGGAACCCTGCAAATGGGTGTCTAGATACCCACGGAGAAGGGAAGATATACACAAGGGATCCGTGGATACCAAGGGGAACCCTGTGGATGGGTGTCTAGGTATTCATGGGGGAGATTGAGTTGACATGGGGTTATTGGGGTAAAGGTGAGGTGAATGCAGGGAATACGGGAAGAAGGGCCCCGCTCGAAGGGGCCGGGGAAGGCCGTGTGGGGCATGTGGCCCACGTGGCCACTGGGGCTGACTGCAGAAGGTGAAAGCAGGAGAAAAAGACTCAAGAGGCAGAAAGAGATACAAAGAAGCAGAAGTTAAGAATAATGCAACAAGGTGCCCATTTATTTTGGTGTTAGGTAACAATATAACTAAAAAAGGGAAAGATTGTGTCAAAAAGTATCCCGGGCACAACACAGCCATGGCAGTTAAAGTGGGATCACAGTGTTCTAGCCACCTTGTGTGAAAAGGCATGATTTTACATTCTTGATGGTACCCATTCCCTCCAAGGCTTAGTGTCCCCCCCTTCCTCACACACACACACCCCAATATTCCCCACCCTTTTTGCATGTTGACAAAAGCGGCCTGGGTAACAGGAAATCTTTCTCCTCCCAAGCATTGTGTGGGGCAGGAAGCCTTCGACAATGGAGTTCTGAGACGGCAGGATGTGCCTTGTTCTTTCTGGGGGGAGACGGCAAGGAGGAAATAATGCCAAAGAGTTGTACAAGTTGTCCGCAGAAATGAAGTCGAAGGGACTTTCTTAGCCTTCTACCTCCTGGTGCTTAGTTTGGATCTAACACTCTGATCTGCATGTTAGAACCCATCTACATTCAGCCCTATATCTGAAAGAATTGGGAGTGAACTGGAGAGACAAAATAAGGAGGTTTTGCAGACAGGATGATGCATTGGCAGTTGCTGTTCGCTTTGATTCCATTTGCCAGAGGTAAGGACGGCTGGATCTATCCTGCCATATAATCCAGTTTTGGGGGTTTTTTTTGTCGTGTCAGGAGCAACTTGAGAAACTGCAAGTCGCTTCTGGTGTGAGAGAATTGGCCGTCTGGAAGGACGTTGCCCAGAGGACGCCTGGATGTTGTGATGTTTTAACATCCTTGTGGGAGGCTTCTCTCATGTCTCCGCATGAGGAGCTGGAGCTGATAGAGGGAGCTCATCCGCACTCTCCTCGGATTTGAACTTGCGACCTGTTGGTCTTCAGTACTGCCGGCATAGGGGTTTAACCCACTGTGCCACCAGTTCAAAGCAGATAATCTGGATTCAAAAACTGCATTATATGGCAGTGTAGATGGGGCCTATATTATGTAGGTTGTCACAATTTTAATTGTCATGAGGCGGCGGGTTAGAACTGCCAACTTTTCAGTCAATCTCTGCAGCTATGCTTTTCATTGCAGTCCCAGGTGGTACAAACAAGTGAAGAGTTGTCTTCTTTGCATGCAGAAGGGATTACATTTACCAAATTCTTGCTTAGTTGTTCCAAATGAGTTTTGTACCTGACTAGTAATATCAATTTTATTTTCATATTTCACCTCATAACATAATGTAAAAACAGTAAAAATGATTGAAGATAACATGGTTTCATAATACTGGAATCAATTGTTTTTGTGTTGGTATTGCTTGTTGTGTTGTTGAGTGTTTTGGATTTTTAAATGAATGAAAACTTTGTTATTGTGTGGTTTCAAAAGTCATTTCTAACTTACAGCAAACCCCAAAGCGTCTGGTTTTGGGGGGATTTGTTTTTGCTTTCCTCTGAAGCTGCAAGAACATGACTTGTCCAAGATTACATAAAGGCTTTTCATGGCTGAGTGGGATTTTGAACCCAGATCTTCAGTCAGAGTCCCTGACAAAATTTGTAAATCAGTAACAGCAATTATTAGAATTAGAGTAGCAATTCTGGTTTAAAAAAATGTCTTAAGCACACCTACACTGTAGAATGAATGCAGTTTAATGGCAATCGAACTGTCATGCTCAATACTGTAAAATCCTGAGAGTTGTAATTTTCCAAAGTCTTTAGGCTTCTCTGCCAAAAGGGTGATGGGGCAACTACCAGGATCCCATAGCATTGAGCCATGGCAGTCAAACTGTATTTATTCTACAGTGTAAATAAGTGGTTCCCAAACTTTTTTGACTATGGACAATTTGACCAGGGACCACTTTGACCAGGGACCACTCTCCAACATTAGTACCAAAAGGGTTATGAATCATATTGTCGAAGGCTTTCATGGCTGGAATCACTGGGCTGTTGTAGGTTTTTCGGGCTATGTATGGCCATGTTCTAGAAGCATTATCTCCTGACGTTTCGCCTGCATCTATGGCAAGCACCTTCAGATGTAGGCAAAACATCAGGAGAGAATGCTTCTAGAAGATGGCCATATCGCCCGAAAAACCTACAACAACCCGGTTACAAATCAGTTCGGTTATTTGGAGTGCTGATTCAGAAAATTGCATGGAATAGACCACACCAGCTCTACTTTCTGATACAGAACACATGCCATCCAGTAGTCGCCATCTGCTTGTCCACAGAAAACCATATTTAATAATCTAGAGCCACAACCCTTATTTTAGGTCATGGCCCACAGCTTGGGAACTACTAGTGTAGATGCATCCTGTGAAATGTTAGAAGGCATTATATCTCCAGGCTCTGAGACTGATCAATTTTGTACAGCACTGTTGTTTTGACCTGTTGTGATTGTAGATCTGTCCTTGACTTGATCCCTCTTTCAATTATGGTTTATATGGATGGCCATCTAGACCATCTGTGTTATTTGGGCAACCCACCCATCTATTTGCTCATGTACCAAAGGACCTGTGCTTCAAATGGCGTGCCCAGATGGCATCACTGACTGTTTCTTTCTCTTCCAGGTTTACCTTGCACCCAAATTTCATGCAAGAATGGAGGAACGTGCCAGAACCACTCCAATGGGACTTTTACATGCCTGTAAGTTCCCAGGATTCACATGTGTTTCTCAAAAGGCTTAACGAAGTTTTATTTTCTTTTGGGAACCTCAATGCTATTGAATTGGGGAGTTGTAGTTTGGGGAGGCACCAGCAATCATTGATCAAAGAGTAGGCAAAAGACCTCATAACTCTACAGGATTCCATAGCATTGAGCCATGTCAGTTAAAGTGGTGCCACACTGCATTAATTCTATAGTGTAGATGCGCCCTCAGTGAGCCTTGTGTTTGAGGGAAATGTTGGACTTCTGTCTCATCATTCCTCCTTCAGAGATCCTGCAACCACACCTAATTTCTTAACTCACAATAATCATAGATTATATCTCTGGATAACTTCCCTGACATTTCCTCTCTCATAATTTGGTATGTTCTCCAAGGCAATGCTATGGTAACCCACAGGAGAAGCATACTAACATCCCTTATTCTGATTGACTGCAACTCTCACCATCCATCATTATGTTGGCTACTTGGACTGACAGGGATTTGTAATCCAGCCACATCTGGAGAACAACTCATTTCCAGAGATACGCTCAGACGCAGAACACAGACTTTGGGTGAATCTCCGCTGTGGAATTAATACAGTTTGACTCCACTTTAACCACCATGGTTCAATGCTGTGGAATCCTGGGAGCTGTATTTTGTTAAGGCACCAGCACTATTTGGCAGAGAAGGCTAAAAACCTAATAAAACGAAAACTGTAAGGCTTCTATAACATTGAACTATAGCAGTTATAACAATGTCAAATTTCATACATTCTGCAGTGGGGATGCACCTGCAGCGAGCCTATTGGAGTCCCTGGTGGCAGAGTGGGTTAAACCCTTGTGCCGGCAGGACTGAAGACCGACAGGTCACAGGTTCGAATCCGGGGAGAGCATGGATGAGCTCCCTCTATCAGCTCCAGCTTCTCATGCGGGGACATGAGAGAAGCACCCACAAGGATGGTAACACATCAAAAACATCAAGGCATTCCCTGGGCAATGTCCTTACAGATGGCCAATTGTCTCACACCAGAAGCAACTTGCAGTTTCTCAAGTCTCTCCTGACATGACAAAAAAAAAGCGAGCCCATTTGAGGGAGATTTTGAAAAAGGGGCGTTCCTCTCTATTCCTCCTTCTGACCTCATAAAAATGCACATGGCTGACTCTATCCCCTTCCACACAGCTATACAAAATCCACATTGAACTGGATTATTTGGCAGTGTGGACTCAGATAACCCAGTTCAAAGCAGATATTGTGGACTATCTGCCTTGATATCCTGGCTTATATGTCTGTGTGGAAGGGCCCTCCTATTCCTATAGAAGGAAGTAAATATGTCCATGTTCAGAGGTACATTCTCATTTTCAGAATTAGACTCTTACAACCCAGTCTTCTCTCAGGGATTAGTTCTGCATGTGAAAATAAGGCCAGAGATTATTGTTCTGGCCAAATGGATGAACACAGAGTCACCCTTATTTATTTGTTTGTTTGTTTGTTTTTGTTACTTCTCTTGACAGATGCTTCACTGGATATGTGGGAGAATTGTGCCAGTTTGTTGACCCCTGTACCCACAAACAATGCCAGAATGGGGGCACATGCTCTCTCCAGATGCTCCATCCCCCAAACCCTCCCACCTCCACTTGCCTTTGCCCACCTGGTTTTACAGGGGAGCAGTGCCAGGGCCTGGTGGGAGATCCCTGCTTTCCTTTGCCATGCCAACATGGAGGATCATGCCAGCACCTCTCTGGAAAGCAGTATCAATGCCAATGTGTATCAGGATGGACAGGTATGTCTGGCAAAGGGAGGGGAAGAATGCAGTATGCTATGCATCTATATGCTATAGAATTAATGCAGTTTGACACCAATTTAACTGCCATGGCTCAATGATATGGGATCCTGGGGGAGTTGTCGTTCGGTGAGGCACCAACTCTCTTTGGCAGAGAATGCTAAAGATCTTGTAAAAGTACAACTCCTAGTATTACATAGCATTGAACCTTGGCAATAAATGTGATATTAAAGTCCATTAATTTGACAGTGTAGATGCACCCAAAGATACACTGTTGGGGCATCGAATTGTTGCCGAATGGTAACCGCCTTGAGTCACCTTCGGGCTGGGAAAAGCGGGATACAAATACTGCAAATAAAATAATAAATAAATTACTTCTGAGCAGGTAAATATAGGAATGCTTTCTTTAGGTGAAGGGATTTTACCTAAACATTAGGAAGAATGTCCTGATGATAAGAGCCGTTTCAACAGTGGAATATGCTACCTGGGAGTGTGGTAGGGGTCTCTATCTGGAGGTTTTTAAGCAGGGGCTGATAGCTATTTGTTGGGGCTGCTTTGCTTATATTGTCCTGCCTAGAATGGGGTTGGAACAAGATGGCTCTTGGGGAGTCACTTCCAACTCCATGATTATATGATTCTCCAAGCTATACATAACCAACTCACTTGTTATAAGGTTTGGTTTCTCGACCTTCTACCAGCTGGATCATCTTTCTCTGGACACAATCTGGTTTGTTACTATTCTTCTTGAATTGTGGTGCCCAAATTTGAAAAGGTTATTCTAGTCTGATCAAAGCAGAATCAGGTGGCACCATTTCCTTCAATCTCGACACGGTGCTACTTTTAATGTAATGCTAATAAAAACTGTTTGTTTCCAAAGTCAACCAATGGGGTGTACATCTCACAGCACCAAAAGCTTTAGGTCCTCTTATTTATTTGTGGTATTTATATACCGCCCTTCTCAACCCTGAAGAGGACTCAGGGCGGTTCACAGTGTTGGCAACAATTCAATGCCATCGATTAAAAAAACCCAGTATAAAACATCAGAATTGACTCTCCCCTGATAAAAATTTAAACATTATTAAATACAGCACATAAAATCACATATCACACAAAAACATAGCCGTTGTTCATAAACAGTCCTGGGTCACTGCACTTTCAACATTCACTTTAACTTTAAATATTCCTATGATGGACCAAACGCTTGGTTCCACAGCCAGGTCTTTAGCTGTCTCCTAAAGGTCAGGAGGGATGGGTCTGACCTGATCTCATTCGGGAGGGAGTTCCACAGCCATGGAGCCATCACCAAGAAGGCCCTGTCCCTCATCCCCACCAGCTGCACCTCTGAGACCAGTGGGGCCGAGAGCAGGACCTCCCCAGAAGAGCTGTATAAAATCCTTCCACACAGTTGTATAAAATCCACATTGGACTGGATTATATGGCAGTGTGGACTCAGATAATCCAGTTCAAAGCAGATATTGTGGATTATTTGCCTTGATATTCTGGGTTATATGGCTGTGTGGAAGGGCCCTAACGATAACCAGGTGTTGTAGGGTCTATCAATCTGGAACTGGCAGACATCCCTGTGAATATTCTTTGACCAAAAAAAAACCCTATGGAATTAATAGGGTTGCTATCCATCCAAAGGCAGCTTGAAAGCAAACAGATATGGAATGATGCAGCTGCTCATTGACAAGTAACTTCATTTCACCCAGTTGTCACAAGACACCTGTGAACATATGGTGACCCAGTGGCTTTCATGTGGTTTTCTTAGGCAAGATAGAAGTGGAAGTGGGTTTTCCCCCCAGTTCTTTCTTCTGAAATCTAGCTATGGCATACAGATTTGTTGGTGATACCATTCAGATACTAACCAAGACTGACCTTGCTTAGCATCCAAGATCAGACAAGCTCTAATGGCTTCATATGTAGCCTCTACATGAGAATGTCTATGTCTGTGTATGTGGTTTCAAATATTCTGTTGACTTGTGTCATCCACAAGGATTTTGCGCGCTCTGAGGAGGAAACACAATCGACAGGTTTGCCGCACATGTCTGCACGAAAGCAAGTGCATGGGCAAACTTCAGCCCTCCAGGTGTTTTGGACTTCAACTCCCACAATCCTGACACAAAGCTAAGTTTACAGGCTTAGGAATTGTGGGAGTTGAAGTCCAAAACACCTGGAGGACCGAAGTTTGCCCATGCCTGGCTTACAGCATCTGATAATGCCAATTACTAACCTGGGCTGACCCTGCTAGGCTTCCAAGATCAGATGGGGATCTGTAACAGTGGACATCGGGCAATCTTACCTCCCACTGGCTTCCGGCTATCCTCTTTCGGAAACAGGATGTTGGATTAGATCGACCTTTCAACCCTTGGTTTTCCTGAATAAGGAGACTGAAGAGAAGAGAAGCAACAGGAAACTTGTCTTAAATGTTTGATCTCACTCCAGGGAAAAATTGCCAGCTGATGGATTTCTGCCCAGCAAACCCTTGTGCCAATGGCGGAACGTGCGTCATCACCTACCCAGTCATCGTTTGCCAGTGCCGCCCGGGGTTTGAAGGACACACCTGCCAGCATGATGTCAATGAATGCTTTGGGGATATGAACCCCTGCTTCAACGGAGGCCGGTGCATTAACAACGTGGGCTCTTTCCGTTGTGTCTGCCCTCCCGATTCCTCTGGACCCCTCTGCCAGTACCGCCTGGCACCGTGTTCCTCAGAAGTCTGCCTCAATGGTGGCACCTGCCATGAGGTGGATGAACGATACCATGGATGTCTGTGTCTCCCAGGTAAGCAATGAGATCAAAAAGTTGGGGTATTTCAACTGGCCTTTTTATTTATTTATTTATTTATTTATTTATTATTTGCTTTATTTCTATACCGCGTTTCTCAGCCTAATTAGGCGACTCAATGCGGTTTACATCCCAGCTAATTCTCTCCCATTCCACAAATGTTCCAGTTTTGTCCTCTTTTACCATTTTTCCTCACTTTATTTCAGTTGCTTCAAATCAAGTGCAAAGCAATTGGCATAAAATTAACTTTGGAAGAAGGAGAGAAGGTGACAGAATTGTGCCCTTCTCAGGAGGCCCGGACAAAAACTAAAGCCTCTTCTAACTGATGACATTTTCTTCATTAATACCTTCACCACACTCTTGTTTATTTATTATTATTTATTTATTTGCTTTATTTCTATACCGCGTTTCTCAGCCTAATTAGGCGACTCAATGCGGTTTACACAATGTAAATTATCACAACAATAACAGTTAAAACACATCATACACAATAACAAAATACACAATTATTATCAATTCATGATGCCTCGGTAACAAGCAAATCCATTCTCGTAATCCTTGTGCCATTCCTATGTTCAATTTTACCGTCTTCCTATGTTCAATTGCACTGATTAGCTAAACGCTTGCTCAAAGAGCCAGGTCTTAACCTTCTTCCGAAACGCCAGCAGCGAAGGGGCCTGTCTGATGTCAATAGGTAGGGCATTCCATAGCCGAGGGGTATGCTCCCTGAGTGCCGCTCCTGTTAGCAACCTGGCTGCCGAACGCTGGACCATCTGAAGCTTCCGGGCAGTCTTCAAGGGCAAGCCCCACGTAGAGAGCGTTGCAGTAGTCTAGGCGGGATGTGACAAGAGCGTGGACTACCGTGGCCAAGTCAGACTTCCCAAGGTACGGGCGCAGCTGGCGCACGAGCCTGAGCTGTGCAAATGCTCCCCTGGTCACCGCCGAGACCTGGGGCTCCAGGCTCAGCGATGAATCCAGGGTCACACCCAAGCTGCGAACCTGTGTCTTCAGAGGGAGTGCTACCCCGTCTAACACAGGCTGTAACCCTATACCCTGTTCGGCCTTTCGACTGACCAGGAGCGCCTCTGTCTTGTCTGGATTCAACTTCAATTTGTTAGCCCTCATCCAGTCCGACACAGCGGCCAAGCACCGGTTCAGGACCTGAACAGCCTCCTTAGTAGTAGGTGTGGAAAGGAGTGACAGAGTTGGACATCATCTGCGTACAGATAACACCGCACCCCGAAACTCCGGATGATCTCTCCCAACGGCTTCATGTAGATGTTAAACAACATGGGGGACAGTATTGAACCCTGCGGGACCCCACAAGACAATGGTTGTGAGGACGAGCAGTTGTCCCCCATCAACACCTTCTGGGTACGACCCTCTAGGAAGGACCTGAGCCACTGCAGAGCAGTGCCACCAAGGCCCATTCCCGCAAGGCGTCCCAGAAGGATACTGTGGTCGACGGTATCGAAGGCCGCTTTTGGGCCCCCCAGTCTTTTCCTGTAGGTGACACCATGCTAAAAGGGGGGAAATCTCACCCATTACTTACTTACTGACATGAGAGAAGTCTCTTCGCAGGATTGCAAGACATCCGGGCGTCCCCTGAGCAATGTCTTCGTAGACGGCTGATTCTCTCGCCACAGAAGCGACCAGCCACAGAAGCGACTTACTTATTTATTTATATCCTGCTTTTCTCCCACAGATAGGACTCAAAGTGGCAAACAAAATAGAAAAACAAACTACATAATACAGATAACCATCATCCTGGAGCCCCCGATGGCACAGTGGGTTAAACCCCGCTGGCAGGACTGAAGACCGACAGGTCACAGGTTCGAATCCGGGGAGAGGCGGATGAGCTCCTCTATCAGCTCCAGCTCCTCATGCGGGGACATGAGAGAAGCCTCCTACAAGGATGATAAAACATCAAATCATCCGGGCATCCCCTGGGCAACGTCCTTGCAGACAGCCAATTCTCTCACACCAGAAGCGACTTGCAGTTTCTCAAGTCGCTCCTGACACAACAAAAAAAATTACAACATAAACCATCATCCTCCCAGTCCATCCTGCTTTTCTCCCACAGATAGGACTCAAAGCGGCAAACAAAATAGAAAAATAGAAAATCCAACATATAAAACAATAAATCAACACATTGCATAAAACACAAATTACATAAATAAGCATAAAAATAACCACATGTATCATTATCGTCATCATTAAAGTCCCTATGCCTCAGGCCACTGAGATTGTCCTAAAACATTAAACTAGACGTCTCGGAGCTCTTTGGCCATGTAAGCCTTGTCTGACCAAGATAAGCTGCTATTCCGTGTTGTCGGGGAAGGCCTGCTTCACCTGGGAGCAAAAGGCCAATAACGAAGGGGAGGGAGTTCCAGAGCCGCAGGGCCACCAGCAAAAAAGCCCTCTCTCTCTCTTGTTCCCGCCAACTGTACTTGTGACAGTAGTGGGACCGAGAGGAGTGCCCTCCCTCAGTGATCTCAAGGCTCATATGGACTGATAAGAGGAGATACGGTCCCTCAACATTCCTCTAACTGTCCCATTTTGGCAGGCACCATCCCAGCTAATTCTCTCCCATTCCACAAATGTTCCAGTTTTGTCCTCTTTTACCATTTTTCCTCACTTTATTTCAGTTGCTTCAAATCAAGTGCAAAGCAATTGGCATAAAATTAACTTTGGAAGAAGGAGAGAAGGTGACAGAATTGTGCCCTTCTCAGGAGGCCCGGACAAAAACTAAAGCCTCTTCTAACTGATGACATTTTCTTCATTAATACCTTCACCACACTCTGATGCTCCTTGGCCACTTATGTTCCAGTTTCCATTTTTGAAATAGTAAGCTAAAATTAGACTGGTATTTTTGGTTCTACCCCTTTGTCTGAATTCTTTTGGGGAAAGGATGACCTTTTGGTCATCATAATCTTTTGGAAAATCAGAATCTCCATAGCCTTTTGGAAGCGTAACCTTTTGGAGATTAATTGGCATTGAGGGCATTTGGAATGATCACACCCTTTTTGTAAAGTATGATCTTCGTGAGAAGATCTAACAACGCGTTTGAGTGAATCTTCTCTTTAGTGGTATATATCCACTAGTATTCATGTAAGGCAAATTAGGTTTCTCCGTTGTTAGACTGACATACCTGGCTATCTCCCTTGAACTGTTAGGAACAAAGATTATGCCAATGGACAAAATATATAGAAGATCAGAAATGTATTTCAGTTGCCCAAAAAAATCTACTCTCTCTTAAATATATTTGGTTTAAAATCATGCTCTCTCGAGACAAAAATAAGTAATCTTCATTAAAAGTATAGTTGGTTTACTTACAAACTTATTGTATTCAGCCTCCAGGTACATTGCTTATTGGTTGAAAGTTTAAACAGTAAGTTTTCTAATGCATTCTGTTGCAGTCTCTTCTCTGTAGTATCTAAAGCAGGGGTCTTCAAACTAAGGCCCGAGGGCCGGATACGGCCCTCTAAGATCATTTACCGGCCCTCGCTCAGAGTCAACCTAGTCTGAAACGACTTGAAAGCACACAACAAACACAACAATCCTATCTCATCAGCCAAAAGCAGGCCCACACTTCCCATTGAAATACTAATAAGTTTATATTTGTTAAAATTGTTCTTCTTTTTAATTATTGTATTGTTTTAAAGTGTTTAGTGCACTACAAATACTATGATTTTTGTAGAACCCTAGAGTTTGCCAAATATGGTTTGGGAACCGCTGCTCTAATCAATCAAACTGATCTGACGTTCTCCTCTTGCAGGCTACACAGGTCAATACTGTGAGGTGAACCCAGATGACTGTGTAGGGAATCAATGCAGCAATGGGGGCACCTGCCAGGATGGATTGGGGTCATATTCCTGCCAGTGTCTCCCAGGATGGACAGGTAAAGTTGGTGAAAGTATGCCTGCTTTCCTTACATTCTAATCTTCTATGTCTGTTAACCCACAATTCCCTTCACATTTCGCTTTAAGCGATAAATCCAGTCTCAGCTCCCATAGGATTCAGTTTCTTTCCTCAGGAACCCAGGAGTCTCACTTATAATGTAATATTCTCTGATAGTTTGTTTATTTATTTTTATTTACAGTATTTATATTCCCCCCTTTCTCAGAGCGACTCACAGAACATATATACAGTAAACATTCAATGCCATTATACACTGACAAGACAGACAACTGTACATAGATAGAGGTATATATAGGCTTTCCCATCTTTGATGTCTTAGAGGCTGTGCTTAGTTCTGGCCTGGGTGGTGGTGCTGTCACTCCATGTGCCATTGTGCCTGGGGGCTATAACTCTTAGTGAAAGGCATGGACGTGACATCTTTCCCCCAGGGGATTGCTTCTTGCCTTCCTTTAGGAAAACTGGAACTCCCAAGGACCAAAACACTTAGATAACTCAAAATAGGTTTTATTGTTCACAAAGAGTTATCCCTTTAAGGCAATAAGCTGGAAGTTTCAAAGGGGTAAAGGAAATATAGTCCCTCTTTCTCAATGGCTGTGAATATCGGAATAATCACAACCCCAATTCCAATGGCCTATATTTTGAAGGCACAAAGCCTTCCTCTGGTGCCAAAGAACTGGTTTGAAGGCACTTGAGACTTCTCAACATCGTCCAGGTTGATCTGAACATGAAGCATAAGTCTCAAGGGTAAGAACCTCAGAATTGGTGCTGAGAGGTAACTTAATCAAGGGCTTCAGAGCCAAGTCTCTCTCTCACGTCCATCTGATAGAAAGTTTGATGGTGGAATGGAAAAGGAAACACTGTCCTGCTCTCTAGGAAGAGGTGGGGTCAAACAATTGAGCAGGAGGAGCAATTCAACTGGTGCAAACAACATTGATTGACAGCTATAAATAACCAATCAATCCAACTATACATTTACAGGGTAAAAAGGCAAAATCAGGCATGATACAACAGTTCAAATCCTGCAAATTACAGTTCTACATATAGGTGGCACCACTCGCGCCATCAAACTCCATCTTTCCTGCCAACGAACTTTGTTCGTAAACTTCCTCCTTGGCTGAATCGCTGGTATTTTTTCTGGCATATCCTTATGGGTGCCTTAAATACCTCCCTGCTTTAAAGCAGTACCTATTTATTTACTCACATTTGTTTTCGAACTGCTAGGTCGGCAGAAGCTGGGCCAGGAGTTCACCCTGACCCAGACTTCTGTCAGCCTTTCGATTGGCAAGAATTACTGCAGATGACGGTTAACCTGTTGTGCTAAAGCCTGTCCCATTGTTTTAATTTTCTTTAGCAGAATCATCTCCATATCTGTCCTAAATGAATGAATTATTTTGTAGATTTTTTATAACTTGTCCAGCATACAGCGCCATAATGAAGAGAAGGGAAGTGTATAGAAATCATAGAATCCTAGAGTTGGATAAGACCTCATGGGCCATCCAGTCCAACCCCCTGCCAAGAAGCAGGAAAATCACATTTAAAGCACTCCCAACAGATGGCCATCCAGCCTCTCCTTAAAAGCCTCTCCAAAGAAGGAGCCTCCACCACACTCTGGGGCAGAGAGTTCCACTGCTGAACAGCTCTCACAGTCAGGAAGTTCTTCCTCATGTTCAGATGGAATCTCCTTTCTTGTAGTTTGAAGCCATTGTTCCGCGTCCTAGTCTCCAGGGCAGCAGAAAACAAGCTTGCTCCCTCCTCCCTATGACTTCCTCTAACATATTTATACACGGCTATCATGTCTACTCTCAGCCTTTTTTTCTTCAGGCTAAACATGCCCAGCTCTTTAAGCTGCTCCCCATAGGGCTTGTTCTCCAGACCCTTGATTATTTTAGTCGTCCCCTCTGGACACATTCCAGCTTGTCAATATCTCTCTTCAATTGTGGTGCCCAGAATTGGACATGCTGTGATTCCAGGTGTGATCTAACCAAGGCAGAATAGATCTTCTCTGAGAAATTCTGGGTGGGCAGAAAAAAGATTTCCAGAGTGGGTGAAGAATGGGTGTGGAACATTATGGGAGCATTGAATCCCTCAATATACTTACTGGGTGATACTGGGAATTATAATCCAAAAAAGCAACTTCTGCAAGCTCTCTGTGTGTTATCTTAGTGTACTGCAGCAGAAAAACATGCAACTTAAAGCTGGGAAAGAAATCCAATATGAAACAACCAGCATCATAATGACAACAAAAGAGAGCTATCAGGACTCTCCAAAGAGAATGGATAAACAAGGAAGCCAGGAAATGCATGTCTTCCTTAATGATGAATAGTTTTCCTGTTGAAGTAATTATAAGACAAAACAATCTGACTATCAAAGGAACATGCCTTGGGGAGGGGGTCAAGGTCCCTTGTGGTGTTTGTGACGACTATTTGGACACAGTCAAATGAAATTTCACGCAAGTGTTCTCTTTATTTGACTGTGTCCAAACAAAGAAAACACTTGCATAAAATTTCCATATGCTTAATACATATAGATGACAATTTAGAGATATGGATATGTACTAGGCTCTCTAGTTTCATGGGATTTAGGGGGACAAGTCCCGAGCCAAAGGATGAATTCATGAATAACATAATCACAATTTTTAAAACTAAGGCCCCTTCTACACTACCTAATATTCCAGGATCCGAACCCAGATTATCTGCTTTAAACTGGACTACATGTATAATAATAATAATAATAATAATAATAATAATAATAATAATACACTTGCCTGCCTCCTGAGGAATCTGTATAATGAGTAAGTAAGACCAGACCACAAAACAACCGACTGGTTCAAGATTGGGAAAGAAATAGGACAAGGTTGAATACTCTCATCCAACCTATTTAACTTCTAGGAAGA